TCTATAAAAAGGATTTTAAAATACTTAAAAGGTACCATAAATCTTGGTATATGGTATCCTAGAGGAGTTGAATTGATTTTAACAGGTTATAGTGATTCAGATTTTGGGGGATGCAAAGTAGATAGGGAAAGTACTAGTGGAACCTATCACTTACTAGGATATTCTTTAGTATCATGGCATTTTAAGAAATAAGTATATGTTGCATTTTTCACTAATGAAGTTGAATACATAGTTGCAGGTACTTGTTGAGTTCAATCAATTTGGATTAAGAATCACTTAGAAGACTATGGTATACATTTAGAACATATTTCTTTTAAATGTGATAACACTAGTGCCATAAATCTTACTAAGAATCCAATTTGCATTCTCGAACAAAACATATAAAAATTACATATCACTTTATTAGAGATCATGTAAGTGATGAAGAAGCTATTAGGAAGAATCTTGGAAGTCTTGACTAGAAGATTGGATGAAGTCAAAAGAAGATATTGTGTTAAGCCCATTAGTGTGTCTACAACTACATTATGTAAGTATAAGTATCTATCCTCTTCTCAAGCAAGAGTTTCTTTCTTTTACAAAGTATAAAGTACCTCAAGTATTTTTAATCTGTTCAAACTCATTTTATCAATTAATATGTTCTTCAGTCACAGTTTTAATTGATATGTTTTTGAAATAAAAGATTAAATTCACTTAAGCAGCTTGAGAACACTTTCTGTCACAATTTTAATTGATACATTTTCAAAATATTCGATTAAAATCACTTATACAACTTGAAAACACTTTTTGTCGTAGTTTTAATTGATACATTTTTGAAATAATCAATTAAATTCATGTAAGAAGTTTTAGAAAACGTTCTCTCACAATTTTAACGGATATATGTTCGAAATAATCAATTAAACATACTTTAACATTTTTGTGTCGTAGTTTTAATCAATTAAACCTCATTTTTATCAGTTAAAACATGTCTGGAAAATATCCATAATTGTTTTAATCGATTAAATCTTATTTTCATCAATTAAAATACCTTTGGAAAATATCTAGAATTGATTTAATGGATTAAACCTTGTTTTCATCAGTTAAAACGCCTTTGGAAAATATCCAGAATTGCTTTAATTGATTAAACCATTTTTTTATCAGTTAAAACGTCTCAGGAAAAATTGACAGAACCTTTTTAAACAATTAAAAATATTTTTATCAGTTAAATTCATTTAAGCTAAGTTGTTTTAATCGATTAAAGTGTGAATTAATTGATTAATCATGTCAATAAGTTAGAAAAATCTCTATATAAACAGATTTTTACCTACGTTTTAAACACATCTTTGAGAAATCATTCAAACAATCTTTAGAGATATTTTCCAAGAGAGAAACGCGCTTCACTCATTAGAATTCTTTTGAAATCTTTCTTGAGGTTTTTGTTCTTGTTTTTGAAGAAACTCATTATGTGATTGATCTTTACATCTGCATAATCATTCGATTATTGTAGTTTCTTCAAGCATCTTGTTTCTTTATTTGTTTCTTTGTATTTTTGGTGTCTAGAATTGTGGGTATTAGTTTAAGCAACTAGAATTGTGGTTGTTGTCATAGGTTCAAGAATTGGGTTATAGTTCTTGGTGTAGATTTATTTTCTACAATTTGTTCTTGTAATCAATTGGTTTTTTATTAGTGGAACTCAATTGGAATTTGGTTGAGAACTAGATATAGCCCCGTGGATTAGGTGAACCAATATAAACTTGGTGTTCTAGTTCTTCTTTCATCTCTTTCTTTTATTAAAAAATGTTGTTATTTGGTTCATGTTTTGATTGGTTTCTTAAATCTTTGAAATTTATAATCTGTAAACAATAGTTGCGAAAAGTTTTTTATTAGATCAATTCAATCCCCCCTCTTGATCACAACTTGTATTTCTAACAGTAATCAAAGGGGATTGTAAAATTGAATATATTAACACAAATCAATAATTAGCGAGATATTTTTACTAAACCATTGCTAGGGAAAGATTTTATACTATTAGAAATGAATTAGACATACTGCATATAAATTGCTCTAATTAAAATCTGGTATGCATAAAAATAATTTATTAATATTTAACACAATCAATTATATCATCTCCAGGGATGTAAAATAATCAATTAGTAATATAAATAATCGATTAAATTTGGACTTTCGTAAATTTATAAGGTGTGTTGATAATCAATTATCAGCTTGTATAATCAATTAAAGTAACATTTTTCAGACTCTGGTACTTGCATTGTTAATCGATTATCCACTTATATAATCGATTATCATTCGTACATAATTATTTCAATTAAATCATCTGTACACTACACTTTACCAACTTCATCTACACACTCTCTCATCTTCACTTAAGCTTCTCTTTCGAAACCCTAGCCCCCATTGCTCACAGAAATCCTCTTGTTACCTATTTTCTCCATAATCTTCTCCTTTTTACTTTGATTTCATGGCTTCACTGCAAAACCAAAAAGAATGAAGAGAACAACTTCAAAGAGACCTCCAAGAACTACTTTTGCAGATAGATGGATAAGTGATGATGAACGGAGGGAGGAGTTTCTTATTCACTAGAAAGAAAGAAGACTCATCACCCACAAATATCTTTCTATTTCATTTTTTATAAACAATGGTTTTATATTTTAGGACTTGTTAGTTTATCAAGGCTTCAAAAAATTTATTGAGATGAATGGGGTGTTTTACCCTGACTTAGTTAAACTCTTTTATTGTAATATGAAAATTGTTAATGGATTTTTTCAATCTGGAGTTAAAGGGGTAGAAATTGTACTAGATGAGGAAATATGGACAAATGTTACAGGATTTAAAATAGGAGGAGAAAATATTATTGGTGTCTTTAAACCCAAATTTTGCTAAGAACTACTCTATTTAAAAGACTGGTGGAATGAAAAAAGATGAAAGATTGTTAGCTTTTGTAATAACCTGGATTCTTGGAACAAGGGGAGCAATCATGCTCAACTAACCTCTAAGACATGTATATAATACATGCTCTTAAATCAAGATTTTAAATTGATTGGTCTGCTGTTGTTATGATAATATGAGGAAATCATATAGGTTGCCTTCATATCCATTACCTTATTCTGTTTTTCTATCAAGAGTTTTTTTACTATGTTAATGTAAATGCGAAGGGAGAATCTTTTACCATCATGAGTCATGCAAATGCAATAGGAAAACTTGTTCTTCATCACATAGGGATGGTAAAGAGAGATCATGATTGATTCTTCAAAGATGAGGAAGAATTTGTTGATGAAGGAGTAGAACCCATCAATGCAGACATTCTCGCGTCCTCTACTAGAAGTATTTTTACTGCTTTTGAATAGAGTATGTTAGAGAAATTAGATAACATACATTTTTGGCAAAAGGAGAAGCATGAGTATTACTGCTCTAGATTTGACAATTTGGATAACAAAGTATCCTCTATTATGATCATACTACAACAAGAACAAGGTGGCACTCAAATGGAAGATGAAGGAAGTGATAATGAAGATCTCAAAACAATTAAGCTATCATTAAATGATGACGGATGATTAATTTGCTTTCTTTAATCATATGTTTAATCTGCTTGAACAATTTATTTGTTGGATTGTAATATTGGACATTAATTTGTTGGTTTGTAACTTTGATACCTAATATAAATTTTTTAAATCCTTTATTACCTGATATCATATCTGTATTAAATTTGGATATACTATTACTCTTACACTCTATGTTTAACCCTTTTTTTTTATTAAGTCTAAAGGGGGAGAAGAGTTCATTGTAGGGTTGCTGAAAAAATATTGTGAAAAATGTTATGTTGGATGACCATCATAAAAAAGGAGGAGATTGTTAATGAAGAATGGTTGAAGAATCATTTTTTATGATGTCCTAATAGATAGCTAGGTAGCTATGTGAGTAGTTATTGTTAATGTCAAATGATTTAATCCTTGCTTAAAATAAAAAAATGTCAAAAGTTAAAACAACTAATCAATTATGTTAAAATTGAATCAATTAAATCTGTATTAATCAATTAGATAAGTACTTAATTGATTATATGACTTAAATTCATGTTTCCATACTATGCGTTAATAATCAATTATATTGTCACTTAATCGATTATGTGAATGCATCTCTGCTTTGACATCACGCACTGATAATCGATTATGTTGGTACCTAATCGATTATATGGCTTATTTTCAGTCTGTCACTGCACGCAAATAATTGATTAGATGTGTTGCTAATCGATTATCTAAATCAATTGTAACATATTTCAACTTTATAAAAGGATAAAAAAATTTATCAAATAAACACATCTTTAGAAACAATTAAAACATTGAAAAAGAAAGTCTTAGTGGGTATTAAGGCAATATTTTGATTTTATAAAATGTTTTGTGAAAATCAAATTCAAAGAAGAAATTATTTGCCTATAGCATTTTGTATTTCAAAGTTTCAAGTGAATTTGTTCTTGTTAGGTGAACAACATTGAGTCAGCTTGAAAATTGTGTGGATAGCATTTTTAAGTGTTGTGATTTTTCTTAGACCTTGATTAAAGTGTGTTGTATTCAAGATTTGTAGATTATGTTGTAATATGGTTACTGAATAAGTTTTAGTGGAAATTCAAGCCAAGGTTGCTTGAATAACTGGATGTAGATTCAAAGGAATTGAACTAGTATAAAATTCTTGTGTTCTCTTCTTTCTTTTCTTTATCTTGGTATTCTGGAAACCTTGACACATTTCTAATTCTTTTTCAAATTTTATTATCAAAAAAAGATTCAAATAATTGATTAGATTTCAGAAAGATTTTACAAACACAATTCACCCTTTCTTGGGCGTGTTTAGTCATTCACGTTTTTTCTAACAATCAATTCTACTATTCTTTTAAACCATTGGCCTTAAAATCGATGATTTGTGTGGTGACCAATAGTTTAAGAGTAACATTTGTATTGAAAGTCTTCCTGGTAGTAAGTCAGGTAAATGTGTCTCATTATGATGAACAACAATACATGGAAGGGTCACTAGTGAACTTGATGGGATATATGTTGAATTATTGGCAAGCGTACCAAAATTATCAATCACAATATAGTATTTCGATTAAATAAACGTCGATCCCACGATGAACGGTTTCAATGGAAATTCCCAATTATATGCTTACTAAGTGAATTGAAACAGATTGAGTTTTGCAATAAGAGTTGAATTGAAATTAAATGACAAAGACTGTAAATTGTTGAGAAAATATCAATTAAAGGCACTTAGGATTGGATTCCTTCCTTATCCCTCTTTTGTAATGGCTATGTCACTTAAGAGCGTCAGTTAACCTAACAATGTTGATGTTACCTACTCAAATCATCCATGTTGATTCCTCACACATGAAATTCATAAGAAAACCTAATAAATGTCGATTCCTCACACAATTAAGAGATTTTCCAGCATTATGTTTAGGGTGTTAAGCAATTGATACATTTATTTCATTCCTGGCAATTAACGTAACAAATATTCTTACCGTGATCTAGGGTTCAAGATATATTTTCCAATCATACCCCAAACATCAAGAATAAATCATTCCAAAGCACAAAAGATAAGAATAACAACATTAAAACATAGATTAATATCTCAAAATATCACCATGATACAAAAGAGTTCAAAGGAAGTGCACCAAATCCTAAGAGAATGAAGTTAGCCACTCATGTTGGCCATTACGATGCTCCAAATGTGGAAGAAGTGAAAAATTGATGAAGATTGGATGAAACCCTAGCAGTAGTCACGTCTCTTCTTCCCAAAACCGCTTCCTTTTCTCAAAACACATCTTCTCTTTTTATAGGAAAAATTGAGCTTTTGGGCTTCGCATCTTTCGCTCAAGCGAAAGTTGCCTATTTTCGCTCAAGCGACAAAATGCTCGCTTGAGCGAGTGAACTCCAAAGAAGAATAACTATCCTTCGCTCAAGCGAATTTTCTTGCGCTTGAGGGACTAACTTCCAAAGAAAAATAAATGATATTCGCTCAAGCAAGAGTCCATCCCGCTCGAGCGACTTCCATGCTAAAAATCTTCTTCCTTCTTCTAGTTTTACTTCAAATATGCTGACAATTATAATCCTTACTCTTGTATCAAGGTATTCTCGAATTAATCCTATATTGGGAGAAAAATAGATTAGAATTAACATAAGTTAAGTGGTTTCATAATAATTCAATGCATAGTTATATCAATTTTTTACCACTTAACAATATACCAATGTGAAGAGATTCACACTTGAGGGGGAGATTGTTGGGAAATTCAAGTGTGAGTCTAAGTCCCACATTGTGTAAGAATGAGGACGTTGAGTAACATATAAGGAAGAAAGACTCATAACTCAATGACTTAAGGTTTTGGGTTAAAAGTTATGTCAATCCCTTATGTGGGTTGAGCTCATGTCTCATTAGTATTGTGGATCCCCTCTCCAAAGGTTCAACAAATTAGTGTTGTTAGTCAGGGCACTTGTGATTAAGAGTAAATTTTTCATCACAAAAATAACTTAAGTCTTTCTCTTTGTGAGGTTGCATCTTAATCAAGCTAATGAATTTTTTAAGAGTTGTAGAAAAGGCATCTCAATGTGGGATTAGTCACATGTTTATTCCGATTACTACTTAGATTCGATGAAGAAGAGACGATTGAAAATAATTGCTAAATATGATTTTCCTATAATGATATTAACTGTGTCAAAGTAACTTTTCATATAATTTGGCCAAAGTCATAACTTCTCAACAAAGAAGTGTGGGGGATTGCACTATCACATCACATTTAATATCATTATTAAAACCATCAATGAAACAATTCACCAAGACTTTTTCATTCAGACCAACTAAGGAATTAACAAAAGACATATTAAGTAATAGTCAGATATTGAATCTGATTGGCATAATTTGAATAACTCTATCATTAGACAATCAAATAGATATGGCCCGAAATCGGATTCTAATACTCTAATGAGATTTGTCCAAGTATTTTGAAAAATCTAAAACCAAGGAACAATATCTTTAAAAAAGTGCATTGCAACGATATCCACTTTAGTTGCATTCAAAATATTATGATAATTGAAAACTTCTCATAGTTGGAAATCCACTCAAGAATTGAAGTAGTTCATCGAAAATAGGAAATCTAAGATATATTTCTTTACAAGGAAAGAAACATTCACCAAGAAGTTAACTTGGAGAAATTGTTTATCGATTCACTTCCACGAGGCAATCACTAGAGCAAAAAGGGGCTTTTACATCAGGTATTTAGGGCTTTTTAGTCGTATTTAAGTCCGACGTTAAAACGGGAGACGTAAATTTACGTCGGACCCTTTAGCCCGACGTAGATTTACGTCAGTTATCAAGACCCGACGTAATTTTGCGTGGCATATACCACTAAACAGACGTAAAAACTTTCGAAAATTAAAAAAAAAACAGCAAATTTACGTCGCGTATTGGTATATGCGACGTAAATTTACGTCACATATACCATATGCGACGTAAATTTATGTCGCATATGCCATATGCAACGTAAATTTGCTGTTTTTTTTTAAATTGGGTTTATTTATTCTGTTTTACAACTAAAACCTGTAAATATTACAACCAGACAGTCTAGAGGTTCAGTTTTCTTTAGCTAGTAAATTAAAAATATAATATTATATAATTCAAACTACATAATAAATCAATATAATTGATGTGATCAAGAAGCAATTGGTTTATAATTTAAAGTTTATCCAAACAATTATGCACCTGAACTTGTGCTTGATGTGATTGTTGCACATGTTCATTTTGTTTGCGATGTCCTAAGTCTAACAAGTCAACGAAACTTCGAAACTCCACATCATGAGTATTACTATTTACTGCTTGCATTGTTTTACAAACAGGTACTGCAACCATGGAAGCTTAATGAAAGCACTAATCAATTTGTAAAATTATGAAATACTAGAATAGTGTGTCAATTGAAGAAACAATTGGTACAATTTTTTGTAATGGGTGTAAGTATGAGTATAGGCAATGGAAGGTAAAAAAATAGAATTAAATCAACAAAAAATAGAATTAATGGGTGTAAGTATGAGTATAGGCAATGGTACAATTTTTTGTAATGGGAGTAAGTATGAGTATTAAAGAATTAAATCAACAAAATAATAGAATTGGAAGGTAAAAAAAAGATTAGGTGATCTTCGCTCGAAGAAGAAGTGGGACCTGAATGAATATAATAAAAAAAATTGTAAAAGTTATCAAGAAGGGTAAAAAATCAAAATTAAAGATAATAGAAAGAAAGATATTCATAATTAAGTATATCACGTGCATAATCATCTCATCCCGCGTAGTCTTTTAATTTTTTTCCTTCATTTATGATTCATATCATGGGTCACTAACCCTTTAGATAACTATTTCTTTTTAATTTCAGCTCATCATTTTCCTTGAATTGCACATTTTCAGCATTGTTATTTTTTTCATGTATTACAAAAGATGGATCATAAAAAAAAAAAAAACAAATCAAATATTAATCAATGTAGACCCCAAATCTTGTCTGGTTTTCAAATAAAGCCAGAGATAACCCGTTTCGAAGATGGTCAAGACTTTGTTAAGTTCCTAATAGCTTTTTCTAGGTTCCATTTAAGATAGGAAGTATTTTTAGAGGCAATAAAAATCGGAAATTTTGTTGGAAACAGCAGATGGTCATCCAGGACAGTCTGACAATCGTCCATGGCAACTTTTTGCTATGGACGACCGTCCACCCTACATGGACGGTCGTCCATGGCCACTTTTTGCCATGGACGACCGTCCACTTAGCCCAAATGGTCGTCCACTTTTTCCTAGCACGGTTCCCTATAAATAGGAGTCTCATTCCTCGATTTTTTCACACCCTTTCACTCCTACCACTCTCTAGGAAGTTTTTTGGCACTTTTGAGTGACTCTGAGCATTATTGCAGAATTTGAGTGAGCTTTCCGATTTCTGTTTAAAGTAGAAATCGGTTAAGGAAGTCTCCTTTTGAGACATCCGACCCTCGGTAGAGTGAGATTTTATCTTTTGCGAGAGGAGCGTGCTTGTAGAGTGCGGGGACTGCCAAAAAGCGTCCTCAAGTTTTGAAGGGTTAATATAAAGCTTGTTTCTGTTAGAAAAGTAGTTTTAAATCAAGAGGGGGGGTGAATTGATTTTTGAAAGTTTTTCGCAATAAACAGATTATCTAATTCAAAAATTAAGTTTACTTATCAATTCACAAATCACAAAGCAATTAAACAATACAAGCGCAGCAACTGAAATTAAAGAGAGAAAGGTTAGGAAAGATTTCACCGGTAATTTTATACTGGTTCACCCAATACCAGGGCTACGTCCAGACTCCAGCCAAATTCCAGCTGGGTTCCACTAGAATAGATGTTTTACAGACTCACCCTCTTACACCTATTCTAACACCGAGAACCAATTTCCAGTTCCGACTTTAACCTTTCCACCAAGAACCAAATTCCAGTTCTTGGAAACCTCTCGCAACCAAATTCCAGCCAGCAGAGAAACCGAGTGCCCAAATTCCAGGCACCAAACGAGTACAAGAACCAAATTCCAGTTCTTGGAAACTTCTACAACCACCTACCAGTACAGAAAACTTGTACCCAAATTCA